AAGTTAATTTTAGTTACGCCCCCCCCCCCAGTTATTGCTGTCAATTGCACTTCTAATTGGCAATTGGCCTAATGCCTAATTAGTAGATGGCTTATATTTGCACTTCAGCAGCTAATTGGCCTAATGTCTGATTAGTAGATAACAACTAATGTTTTGTAAAGCAGCTTGTTCTGAACAGCATTAACATCTATTAAGGGCAGCAAATAGATCTAATTAAAAACAAAAAATTAAATTTTAGCAGCAAGCAGTCCCATGTAATAAACAACAGGGAGGCATACGTAGATAATGAGCAGTGTAGATGGAAACCCAAAAACAAGGTAGCCCAAAAATGTGACACGGAAGTTAGCTGAACTACGAGCCTTCTCTGCAACAATTAGATTAGCAACGCTTCCAATGAGAGTGAAATTACCAGCAATCGTTGAGATCCATGCCAGCAATAGCCCGCCTAACGGTCCTTCACAAGGTGCATCACCACAGAGACCAGAGATACGATTAACAATGAGTATGACCAGTGGAACATTGCTGAATATATTTGAACCAATGATGACAAAGACAGAGAATAGTAGCACTCCTTCAATTGTATGCAGGTTCATGTATGGGGCTAGGTGCTTGAAAACAATGTAGGGAAAGCAGGTGTTTTGAAAGCCTCTGAGCCAGACAAAGAGACCCATGAACATTAGAATGACAGTCCAATCGATCTTGACCATGACATCATATGCATACTTGCGATTGAGAATAGTGTCCATCAGCATTGTAAAAATGCTAGCAGCCAATGGAATGCAGCCAAGATTGAAATCAGCCACTGAATGTGGTATTGCAAGTAGCACAATCATCAGTAGAGTCACGAAAATTAGCCAAACGAGAAATATTTTTCGACGAATGATACGAAACTTTTTATTCTTATGCTTGTTATTATTAGCTTCATCTTGAAATGTACTTCCTTTTGTAATGCTATCAGGAAATGTTTTATTAATTGTTGTTTCATCTTTACTAACATTCTCTGAACTTGTAGCCATTCCAGCAGGCAAACCGGTGCTCTTGTGCATTATCCCTGATGTGCCACCTGTTTCCTCACATTGATCAAGACTTGCTGCATTTGCTTCTCTCTCTTTATGCAGTGAAACTCCACTACATATAGAGGCAGTGGTTGGATCCTCTGGACCTTCAAAACCCCTTGCAATTGCTTCCCTTTCCTCCAAGATAAATATTTGCCCACCATGCTTCACAGTATCTCTGTTATCAATGGATGGTTGAGTAATGTGCAATTCGTCTTCTTTACTTTTGAGGATCTTCTTACGTATAAATATAAACAAGTATATCAACCCAATA